TTTAGTTTCATGTGATATGTTTAAGACCGCAAAATTTAAATACTTCTTTACTTTCTTAAACTATATATCGAGTCAACACAAGGAGTAATCAACTAAGGAAACACTCAATACAAGTTATGAACTACCCCTCTATAAAGATTTAGTCTTTTTGTTGTCTAAAAGAAGTAATTTAGTATGTATAATATGTAGGATTCATAAGTACTCAAATGGCAAATTCATACCAGCATTAAGATAAACAGATTATTACATTCAAGAAAAGCGGAGAGGGTGGAATTACACTGGAAAACAATCACCAAATACCAAAAAAGAAGCAAGAGACAAAGCTAAAAAGAATGCCAATGGCTGAGTTTACCACAAAGCAGCAATCAAAGGCAACTAGGACTACTATCATCATCAGCAGCAGCAGCACCTGGCGCCTCACTTGAGCTCGAAGAACCACTGCTAGTAACACATCCTCCTCGCTTCTTGCGCTCCTCTTCATATTCAGGATCATCTGTGGGCAATTCAAACCTACAGACTGGACAAGAATTCCTCGAACCCAACCACTGAACTATACAATCATCATGGTAACCATGCCCACAGGGTAAATTCTTTGCCATTTCGCCCACATTCACTACATCTTTACAAATGGCACATGCCATTACCTCCTGCTCTTCCTTGATCACCAATGTATTGAGACCCTCAATTGCACTCTTGGAAGCTGGTGGAGCTCCTCGTCTTCCGCTACCATCACTCTCGGCTAGGGTTTGCAGTAAAGCTTCATAACCCGCTGCGTCCACATAGTCTCCAGGGTTCCCGATGTAGCCATCGCCATCAGGAACTTGAAATCGGAGCTCAATAGAGTGGTCTTCCAGTCCCATCAGAATCTCTGCCCAATCCAGAATCCGGTTTCGCCGATTGGCAGCTCTGGCGGCGAAGTCACGTAGCCGGAGACGTAGGACATCCCTCCGCCTTCTCCGAAGATCCTCTTCATCATCATCCCGATTCTCGACTTCTTCATCCTCATCAACATCATCATCATCGTCGTCGTCATCCTCAGATTGGCTTCGATTCCCGCGATTTTCTCCGTCCTCGCCAATTCTAACCCCGATTCCATTATCCTCCTCCTCCTCCTCCTCTTCATCATCATCATCATCCTCGTCGTTTCCCCAACCGTCCAGCTCGACACGGAGGAAATCGTCATCGGAAGGATCAGCGTGCTCAGAAGGCGGGGGAGGGGGCGCATCGTTGTCACGCGCCGCCTCAGCTATGAGGCGAAGAACCTGGATGAACTGATTGCCGAAAGCAGGGTCATCGATCTGATCAGTAGAAGCCGTCACCGGAGAGACAGAAACAACACGAGAGGGTATGGACTCGACGAAGCCACTCTTACAGTTGCTGCAAATGACATCGGCGGGGAGATCGGGTAGGGTTTCGACGGCAACCCGTGTCTCACACTGGTAGCACCAGTAATCAGGATCCGACCCGGTTGGTGCAGGGACTGAAGGGGTCTCGGCCATTGTTGGAGACTTTTGGTGGGGGGAACAAAAAGCAGAAAAGAGGACTAATAAGTACTCTTATTTCATTTGCTATTCTAAATACCCATATCCACTAAATTTTAGTGATACTATTTTAGTGTAAAGTAGGTATTTCAAGACCGAATTGAAATTGATAATTTGAATCCAAGAAAAGTTATTGAATTATTGATAATGAATTATTAGTTTAGCAATTTTGAAAATGATTTTGATTTTTTCTATTATTAAATTATCAATTTTTTAACGGTCTAATTCATAACATGATAGAAAGTTAATAAATTATTTATACCGTTCAGTATATAAAGTCTTGACTTAAGGTCTAGTTTCATGTTATTTCTAGCTGTCTCAAACTTTTATTTATTCTATAATGTGTCAATGTTGCTCTTGAACAAGATACAATTTGTCAATTCGTGTGCATGGTTCATTTAGTTGTCATTTTGTTTCTGAGAGATTTTCAATATTTTTTTTATGTCAAATTTTATCGGTTAAATCGATAATCGAATTGATAACAATCAATAACCGATAAATTGACAAGTAAATATCTTAATGGTCCTATAACGATGTAACATGTCTTTAAATCAATAACCAATACTTCGTACCAATAATCACCGAACCGATTGATACACAACCCTAATGTAAAGTGTAAACCAACTTTAACTCATTACACTAAATTTTTTATTAAAAAGAATATTCTTTTTTTATATTTTTTTCTTTTTTATATTATATTATTATTTTTTATTATATTTATATTTTCTTATTTCATAAAGCAAATCATTTCTTTTTTTTTTCACATATTCACCCGATATAATTCATATTCTTTTTTTTTATAATCATTTAATATAAAATAACTTTATATAATAATTTGTTAAATAATATAAATTGTTAACATATATTATACCTTACATATATGAAAGGATAATACAAATAAAGTGAATTTAAAGATGAAATACAATATATTATTGATGAATGTTTATTATTTTTGGTTATTTAAAATGCATTGCGTTATTTATTAACAATATATTATATTTGCGGTTTTCATTTTGTCATGGTGTAAAAAATTGTGTAAAATGAATTTTGGTTATTTAAAATGCATTACTCACACACTAAAATAGTGTAAGAAATAATATTGAGTTTTAGAATCCAAAAACACTAAATTTTACTTCAAATTCAAATTCAAATTCAAAGTAAGATTTGATATAAGAAATAGTATTGGATTGGAGTTGATCTAAAAGTTATTGTTGTTGTTATTATTGTCTGACCAATTTGTTGCAGTATATAGTAGTAATAAAGTATTAAATAATCAGTTCTACGTTCATTTTTTGGATACTACCACAATTTACAATTGCATAAGTCAGCAGCCAGGTATGTTGTGTTTATGGGTGTTTGGATCGTTTATTGTTACAGAATTTTCGACTATTGATTTTATTGTAAAGAAAGGTTCACAATTCACCATTTTGGCCTAGACATCCCATCAAGAACTGTTATAGACACTCATATACATGAAATCAAAAAGATAAATATTCTCGTTTTGAACATTTTTGCTTTCATAAATAAATTATAAATAAATTTTGATGAAAAACATATATAAGATGTGCTTACCATTGTTCATAAAAAATAATAATTTATTATGTATGTATCGGCTTAGTTCATATTAGTTTTTTAGTTTTTTTTAACAAAATCAAATCAAGTATTATCGGTTTTTAAAAATGTAAAATCATATCAAACCCAAATAAAATCGTTTGATTTGATTTTTCGATTTGGATCGATTTGAATCCAAACACTGAACACCCCTACATACACAATGCAGATGTTTACGTAGTGGCAACAACAACATATTCAGTGCAATTCCACAAGTGAGGTCTGGGGAGGGTAGAATGCATGTAGGCCTTACTACTACCTGGTGGAGGTAGTGAGACTGTTTGTGAAAACCCTCCACTCAAGTGCAACAAATCTCGATATAAAGAAGATGGAGACTATGAAGAGAATATAACAAATAAAAAGGAAATAGTGCAAAGGTATACTAGAGAGGAACCAAAACAATAATAAAATCATGTGATAATCGGAACTCCATAAACAATATACTAGGATGGATTATACAAAATAAATAATAAACAACGATGCACTACAATACAACAACTAGTATTGTACACAAGTCACCATAAGCAAGACAACACGACATTACCTACAAATATTCTACCCTAATACATGTCGTCATGCCTCATATCAAGAGTCATATCCTCAGTAACCTGAAGTTGTTTCATATCATGTCTTATCACCTCTCCCAAGACTTCTTCGACCTACCTATGCCTCTCATCATACCTCATAACCAATCTTTCGCACCTCCTCATTTGTGTGTCTATGCACCTCCTTTTCACATGTCCAAACCATCTCAGTCTCGCTTTCCTAATTTTGTCCACAACAGATATCACTCTTACCTTATTTTGGTTATCCTCGTTTATAGTCTTATCACTCCTAGTATGACCTCACCTCAATCTCAACATTCTCATCTCTACAACATGCATTTTTTAGACTAATCAAAATTCAATCTCATACAACAATATCGGTCGAACCACCACTTTATAGATCTTATCTTTGAGTTTTGGCTATACCTTCTTATCACACAAGAGGCAAGCCTCCACTTCATCGACGCCGTACCAATACGGTGTGTGATATCATCATCGATGTCCCCACTCCTCTGAATTATAGACCCAAGATACTTGAATCCATCTTTCTTAAGGATAATTTTGTATGTCAAGTTTCACGTCCACACCTACCTCATGCTTCACATCACTGAATTTGCACTGCACATATTCTATTTCGGTCGGTCTCAACCAGAACCCTTTAGCCTCCAAAGTTTGTCTCTACGCATCTATGATCTAACTTAGCATTAGCTCTATTGGGCGTCTCATTAATCTGTTCTATATCATCCACAAATAACACATACCACAACCCTCATTTTAAATGTCTCGCATCAACACATCCATCACCAAGACACATAGAAACGGACCAAGAGTTGACCCCTAGTATAATCCCATCTTCATAGGAAAGTGCTTCGAGTCTCCTCCCATCGTTCTTATTCGTGTTTCAACTCCTTCATATACATAGTGGCAGAACTAGGAATTTAAACAAGGGGTATCGAAATATAAACAAGTAAATATACCTGAAAATCAAGAGAATTCAAACACACTATAATACATACAACAAAAAGAAATACTAAGTTACCTATCTACACAACACTCCTCAAGTACCTGTGGCTCTGCCACTAAATATACTTATTACATTATACTCATTCAACAAAAGAACCAAAATGCAGAGCTTGAGATAACTAAACAAAATTGTGCTTATTTCCTTCTTATTCAATAAATTAAACAAATTATACACTACCAAAAGGAGATGACAAAAGTATAGTTACATAAATAAATCATAACAGAGTAAACAAATAAGTGTGAAACTTCATCAAAAGTACCTCACAAGATCCCACAACCAAACATCTTTGAACCTTCACACACCAGGGAGCTGCGTAAACCAGGTCGATATCAAACTCAACACCACCATTGTACATAAAGATGAAAACAGAGGAACACCAGAAGACACCGGTAGAGACTGAGTAGGCGAAAAGGGCATATAAACAGGTCCAGGAGCAATCATTGCATCAGGATTAGGAGGGCTAGGGCTAGAAGGAATTAAGGGTAATGAAGAATCAGTAGGAGCAAGCTCAGAGCCACCTGGTGAAGGAAAAAGAGGACTTATATCAGGAGACAGAGCAGGTGGATTTGGTAACAATGCAGGGGCAGCTGAAATAGAAGAAGATGGTATATTTGACAAAGATGGTGATTTGTGCAAGGCTAGTGATAAAGAAAAAAAATCAATAACAACACAAATCAAGAAAAATCTAGTAGATTTTGAAGTGGAAGCCATTAATGCTAGTAATAATTTTGGAATGAAGGAGGAGGGAGTTGGTGTTATGATTGAAGGATAATTAGAGAGTGAGGGGATGGGGATGAGAATGATAGGTGGCAGAAATTATACCTTCGTCCACTTTTAATTGTCATAATTTCCTTTTTGAGAGTCAAACGATAAGTACTTTGACTAATATTTTACGATATAACTTTTCATCATATTGATATGCAAAATATTGCAAGTTATAGTACTTTTCGTATAGTTTTTTTGAATATCTAAATTTATTGTTTAAAATATCGAATTAATGTAATCTAATTTCACTTTAAAAATTAGTCAAATTGACTTTTGAAAAATGCAACATGACAATTAAAAATGGATAGAGGGAGTAGTTTGGACGGAAAACTACATTGTATATAATAAATGCTGAGTCGTATTGATTTTTTTGTGTATTTTTTTTATATTTTTAAATTTTTTTAATGAAAATTCTAACTCGGGTTAGGGGGTGCATGTGGGGTTATAGAAAGGACAAGAATTTGTGTATAGAAACACATGAGGTTGTATAGGTTGCTTGTGTCCTTTTCTTGTGGCTTTGTCCGGCCAGCCATTGTTCGTCCGTGAGATTCTTGTATCTGACATGTGAACCCCTCACCCCATTACACCCTCACCCCCACCCTATATACCACTCCCACTGTGCCCGATTTTGAATACGTCGTTTGGTTGAATACAAGTTATTTCATCATATATATAAGATAATTTATCCCATCGCTAAAGTATAAATGATGGAATAAATAATTCAAAAACAGTCTAATACTTCCAATCAAACACACGATAAAATAATTCTTTCATTTTAAACAACTCGTTAGTTTATATGATAGAGGGGTGAAGTTCACTAACTCATTTTGATCATATTTGGGATTTTCTTGCTGATCTTGACTTTGTAAATTGTCACTTTATGGAATCTGACTTTTGAAGTAGTTATGATTTATTTTATAATTAATTAAATAAAAATACAATTTTTTTCAACTTTTTAAGTTTATGGGTGAAATAAACACACGATTTGAATTTGATATGTTATTAAAGTAGATAACAGTCCTGAGTTTATGTCTCACTGATACAACAAATAGCAAATCTAAGAGGAGGTGAGAGTGGTCACCATTTCTTTGGCAAAAAATTACACATCATATATAAGTTTTATTTTTTAGTTATATATATATAAATTTTGAATCCCTTGAACACAAGATTAGAGGTTCACTCGATGATTAAAGGAGTTCAAAATTCATCTAAAGATTTGAAGTTCAATTTCTTGATGCTATATTGTGTGAAATAATTCACGTATTAATTAATCTTTCTCATTGAGTCGGAAAACGTTTCTCTATGACTATTAATTAATTAAGCAGTGATTTTCAATACCTATATATTCACATATAATTATGTAATTCACTTTTAACCTCATCATTATTGCAATAATTTATATAATCATACATATTTACTACTCCCTCTGTCTCAATTTGTGTGACTTATTTTCATTTTTAGTCAGTTGCAAAAAGAATAACACATTTCTATATTAAGTAATAATTTAACTATAAAATGTATATTTTTTTCCTTAATGAAATGATTTACAGTCATACAAATTTCTATCATTCATTTTGAACCACAAGTTTTAAAAGTCTTCTTTTCTTTCTTAAACTTCGTGCCGAATCAAACTAACTCACATAAAATAGGACAAAGGGAGTACTACTTTATATATGAGTAATATGACTCTTCAGTCCGTGATTGGTGCTTGCTAAGACAGAATCCTTGGAATGCGTACCATTATTTATCCAAAATTCTATATTCTTTATATGGGCTTTCGTACACTAGAACAATTTTGTGAAAAATTTCAGAAATATTATCCTTAAAAATATTCTTACATAATCTAAACAAATACTATGAAAGTAAAGGGTAGGATCTGGGTCGAGGAAGACTAAAGGTGTAGGAGTAAATATTATTTGTACAACTTGTTTTCTCTATTTCTATTTTAGATTTTAGAAGTCATTTTTCTTTTTTTAAGAATTTTTTTTCCAAAAATCTTGAATCGAACATGAATTGGAAAACATTTTCATATTCCTCTGTACTGAATACGTCAATAGTCCAAATTGACCCATGAGAAATATTTATCAAACTACTTTTTAAAAATTATTTTTATTAGTTGATATTTTATATATATCCATGATAAAAAAAAATAGTTTCATTAGATACCAAAATTATTAAAAAATAAATAAAACAATTAAAACTTAGTAAGAATAAGATGAATTGTGTTATTACCCGCATTTCAACCAAAGTAACTTTTATGCAGATTAATAATTCGTTTATTTATTAATTCAACTCATATTAATCGACTCAATTTCAATTCAACCCACTCAGTTATTTGTTAGTGGTATTTTGTATTTTCTTCTCAACTTCGCTTCTAGAGAAGCTTAGATAAGTGATAACATTTGGTTGGATAAAAATTTTAAAATAGTCAATTCAAATTTGTAATTCAAAAATAGTCGTATATTTCAAAGTTAATAGTTAATTTTTGGAATCCATAAAAGTGCCATGAATTGTAAATTTTAAAAAAGTCAAATTCTATCATAGTATTCTCGATTAAATCCAGAACACTATCATGGAATTTTATTTTATTTTCTTGAGTTCAAAGTTTATAATAGTGTATTGAATTTCATGACACTATCTTGGTGTTCCATATCAAAAGTGGTTATTTTTTAAATAATTTTTTTAAACCTGACTATTTTTGAAAATTGGCCTGAAGCTTAAGCTAATTTTATTTTTGGTATTCTATAGTCATATCCAACAAAATCCAATTAAGCTAATAAGAGATTCTATATTAGGTCTAGCAAACATAAAAATCACATTAGCGCTCTATAGCTACAGTTTTGCTATTTACGCTCCATAACAAACATAGTTTGCTTGCAGCATCAAATTTGTATAAAAATTGAAGGCAACATCTGATTGTATAAAATCACAGGCATCTGATTGTATAAAATCACAGGCATCTGATTTGTATAAATCACAGTGATTTATATAAATCGGACATCTATATCTATGAAAATTGTGTTTGTATATGTATGTTCTTTGTGTTTGAATAACTGCATAAAATTTGAATTCGTATACAATTGAATCGAGTTAAAACAATTGTATTTGTATATCAAATCTCTCTCGCTTTATACAGACACAAATTATACACGGTATTTTGTATAATTTGTGTTTGTAAAAAGCGAGAAAGAGAGAAAGGCAAAAGAGAATTGGGTAGGAGAAGATTTGTATTGTATAATTATAAGTATATAGGACGAAAATATTGTATTTGTCTATACAGTTTTCTCTCGCTTTATACAAACACAAACACAATTTTTACATTTGTTTTTTGTATAAAGTGAGAGAGGTGAGGGAGAGTGGCGAGCGAGATTCAGGGAGAGTGGCGAGTGAGATTCTAAGGAGAGAGACAAATGACAAAGTGTTTGCTACGAATTAGAATTAAATGAAACTGCGGTTATAACATTTATTTTAAATTAATAGTTTGTTATTTCATACACTTGTGACTTGTCCCTTCTATATATATGCACTCTTCCCTCACTTTCCAATATAGGGAGCTAGCTTGTTTTCACGGATGGCAAGCGCGCGAAGCATCCAAAGGATACATAGCTAAGGTAGACTCCAAATTCCAATTGTTTCATTTTCCTTCTTGTTCATTAATCATAAATCAGACAAATCGAACACTATGGTAAAATGTGAAAACACCCAATTTCATTCTAAATCTCTCAAAAATTAAACATAGTCATTTTCATTTCAACTAAGAGAAATCCAAAAGAAAATATCAAGAAAAAAGGCTTAAGTCATCTGCAGCCCCTTAAAGTTGTCCGCATAATTCGTTTAAACACCTCAACTAAGGCTTGTACCTATTGAACACCTATGCCCCTTAAAATTGATACCTATTTGATATTTTTTTGACAATCAACCAAAAATATGAAATGTGTGTGCTACACTCGTTGTGACGTGGCAATGACATAGAAAATTTGATGAATTAAATGATGACATGTGGCATTGTAGTAAAAAAAAAATATTTAAAAAATGAAATTATAATTTATTTATTTTTTAATTTTAATCTGTTTAACTAACTAAAAAAATTTAAAAAGAATTTTCTAGAAAAACCCACCCACCCACGGCAAGCCCTCATTTTCCTCTCCAGTTCCAAACTATAACATATCCAACACACAATTCTTCCCTCAATCTATTTTTCTAATCTTCTCTTCATCTGGTTTTTGTACGAGGAACATGAATAATGTTTCGCCGAAAAATTACGAATTTCTATCACAATGGTCGAAAAAAATGGCGTTATCTGAAATATTTTTATGAATTACATAATTGATATTTCTTGGATTTGAAGAACTCTTCGTTTTTTAACTAACAATTTTAATTAATTAATGTGAATGTTTATTGTTGGATTACATTGACATAAGTTTATGTCAAGATCGAACTTGTTGGAAAAAAAATCACCAGAAACTATCGTTCTTAAATTTGATTTTTCTTTTGTTTGGAAAGATAACAAAAAATTATACTAGTTTAAATAATGATCAAATCACTAGCTTTCTCAAACAAATTTTTTAAAAAAAAACTAAATTTGAAAACAGAGAAATGAACTCTAAACTCGGCATACATGATTAAACTCAATATATTCCATCTAATAAATTTATCCAATAAACAACATAGTCGTCATATTGACAAAAAAAAAAAACCTAAGATCAAATCCAAAGATCTAATTAGATATCTGTATAATCGATTTTAATTTATGATGATGAATGGTGGTTAAGTTAAGAAAGAAGAAGGTGAAAAAATGCCAAAAAAACTATATTAAAAACCATTGATGGTTATAGTGTTTCAGATGAAAATGATGGTAGTAACCGGAAATGGATGGTGTTGGAAAAAGGGTTATGGCTAAAGAAGAAAGAGATTTTTAAAAAGTTAGCCAAAAACTGCTCCTTTCACATGCTGCACTGTTAGTGTGTTTCACTTTTTTTGTCATGTCAGCGAAAAGTGTTCAA